CGAGGGACCTTCGGTTAATGGTTTGAAGAAGTTTAGGGTACACATTTCTGATTTTATAGTTAAGGGATCTTAAAAAATCTCGCTGTTAAGCTGAAGGAACTTCGGTGACCTTATTTATTCATATCAGAGAACTACTTAAGACTTTCAGATACAGGCCGATATTGGGCTTGGTAAGGTACCAGCGTCCAGTGGTGCCTAGGCCCAGTTAATAGAAGCCCTTTTTATCCCACAGTCAGACTTCAGAAGAAGCGAACTTTCCTATTCCCTTCCGAGTATCCCACTGCCTGTATCCAAGCTCGTCTGCATCTATGTGCGCATTTGGGTGGTAATGCACTCACTCATATCCCTTTCTGCCATCAACTAGCATGCAACTGTTCAAGCCTAGTCCATCGAAATCCTTTGAATTTGAAGTGTCAAACATCACTTTACTATAGATATACGGTCGCGGACAACGAAACCAGTAGCATATATGCACGCTTCAGTTCCACTGCGGGCGCCGGAATGAGGCAGCTTGCTGTTGGCACCTCCTGCCTCTGGGTTTGATCAGTCGAACCGACAACATGTAGCACAGTTAGCAAGTAAAACGATGTGTTTTCTTCAGCAGGGATAGCATGGAGCACACCACCTTAATTTTTCCTTAATTTCCCTGAATTCCAGAGCACGGTCTGCTCTCCGTTGTGGGCGCGACGACGTGCAGCTAGCTAGCCCCGCGTGCTGGATGCCGTAACGCATGGGTCGCACGACACTCGCACACAAACTGGTTGTTCCGTGGCGTGACTGCGTGAGCCGTGAGTGCACGCGCCGGGATCGGAGACAGCATCAACCTTCCCGCAAAAAAAAAAGAAAAAGAAAAAAAAAGGAGACAGCATCAACCGATCAGAGCACGAAAATTTCAGCGTTTCTTCTCTTCTTTTTCCAGCTCGATCCGCCCACCTTATCTGTTGCACGCGAAAGCGACGGAAGCATGGAGAGTTTGGTCGCATTTTGCAAGAAACGATATATAGCTAGCTTGTCCGTTGTAGCTCCGTCGCCGGTCGTCGCCGTTCTTGTACTTTGATGGCGTCCAACTGATCAAGCCGATTGATTGATTGATCAGGGAACGGTATGTTGATCGATGGGTTGGCCACAGGAAAACAAAGTCAGACACTCAGACGATGGACTGTTCATGCATGGAGATATTCTCCCTGATTCAGACGTCAGGGATGTGTAGAAAAATGGATGCTCCGATATGGCATGTCCATTGTCGCGGCTGCTTCTTAATTGCAGCCACATTCCGTAATCCGTTTTAATATCAGCAAGGAATCACCGGATCAGGCTTGAGAAAGCGAGAGTCCTCTCCGCGGTGGCATCTTCTGAACACTTCAGCAGCGGAAGGGCTTGACTTGTCGGTTGTAGCAACGATTTCTGACTTTGGGGGGGCGAACTGGCAACCCAATACATGGCTTGCACACATGCAGAGTGATTGATTAATTAAAGATGATGAGGAAGTTGGAATGCGGCTGGACTGATTAAAATTAGGCTACCGCTTACTTAGCTTATTATTAGCTAGATGAGTTGTGTGTATTTTACTAGTATTAATTTTTCAGCTAAAAAATATTTTGTATATACTGGTAGTATAGAATGGGCATTTGAGGGTCAACCCTTGGACTGATTAAGATTAGGGTAGCTCTTCCTTAGCTGGACTGCTGAGCAGCTTCGTCTTTTCGCTTATACTGCTTATAAATCAAAATTTAAATTTTCAATTTTAAATATGGTGTTGATTTTAGAGTTTTCTCATCGTAATTTATTTTTCAATATTTACGTTTAGATCACTAAGAATATCTATATAAAAGTTTTATTTACAAATTATTTTTTTATAAATATGATGTTTGGCTTATTCCTGGCTCGTATTTCTATAGACCACTGATATCTTGAACTGAAATGCTTGTTCTGCCTAGTGTTAGTACTGTAGAGTAGCTTTTTTTTTTTAAAAAAAAAACAATTAAGCAGCTACTAGTAGCATTGGTCAAAACAATTCAGTGGACCTGTATTTGTACGCTAGCCAATAACTGGCACAACAAAATATGCTGCCTAGCTTCCTCACACGAGAACAAACAAATAGAGTGATGAGATCCTATACGACCTAACTGAATGTGTAATTGATCACTACACCGTACAATCTATACCGTTTCAACTTTCAACGAATTCTCAACTAACAACTGGGCCGGCGCTGCGAACACTAGCTTTTTACTACACATCCAATCCACCCAATTGAACTGTCAAATTACTATATACGTAGTATACACATTAACAGCACTGTCAAACATGGAAGAGTATAGGCGTATAACGTCAAAGTAAGCAGTGTCGACAAATTTACAGCACTGCATCACTGCAAATCTGCAATGCATGCCAGTATGCTAGCACGCGGTAATTTGACCTGCCTGTGGATTGACTCTTAATTAATCAACTGATTAAGCTACTACACAGTAAGCTGAGTAACACAGTTCAGCGCTTGCATTGTTGATATTCAAAAGGGAACTCGTCCCTACTAGCCAGCGCACTGCATCTCCGACCTCGCCCAAAAAGTAGTGCCATGACTCCATCTCTCATCCAAAAAATGGAAGAAAAAAAAATAGTGTCAAGTGTCAACCCAATTGTGTGTGTGGAAATTAAGAGACGACTTTTTTTTCTGAAAAAAACCAGGAGAATAGGCATAGCTAATTTAGTTTTGCTAGATCTGGAATCAATTTAGTCGTCTCTGATTTTTATATTGTGCAAATGAGTTCTTATAGTTTATTATGTGGCCCTATATAGTTTGTCATGCAATTTCGTCGTCGTAATCTAAAGCGAATGCAATATTAATCCAGCACTCGCTGGGAGAAACAAATGTGCAACAAAATTAACAAAAGATAGGAGTAACATGCATGCGGCCGGTACCATGGACAGGAGAATCGAATCAAATTAACCTATATCTGCAGAATTATCAAACGAAATATATTCTATATCTGCGGAATTATTGCCGCATATTAAGGGTGACTTCAGTACTTAAACTGATCGTCTGATCCAGTAGCAAGCAAGCATGCCCAGGCGCCATTTCTTGACAGTTGACGTGGAATCCATTGATGTGGACAGGATATATCTAATAACCTTTTAAATCAACTCTACAATCACAAGCACTTTCTTTACTGCCCTTTGAACGCAGACTGTTGAAAAATCATGCCCTTATCATTTCCTCTTGTGATGATTGATTATAATCAAACAAACCACCGTTTAAAAACTCTGTCGTGTTCGTCATCAACGTTCTTTCAGTATCTTAATTAATCATGCACTGACCAATCTGAGGTAACTCAGCTGATCATCGCTTGGCTTAATTAACGACGCATCATTTAGACTGAGGCACGGAGTAAATTAATTAAATTAAACAATCTTCAACGCCTGATGTCACTGACGGACTGCTTCGTGTTGGACTGGCCGGGGATCAGCTGACCGGAAAGAGTTGCAATAACAAAAAAGATTAATTACGTCTCGTGGCAATTCTCTTATTGACTTGTGACGTTAACCGTTCCGTGCTTGACATGCTCACATGCAGGCATGTATAGACTGTAGCTTGCTTTTACTCATCCACAGTCATCAGCTCGAGCTTAATTTTATAATGAAGATTTTGGGGCGTAAAGCTGGATCAGGTCAGGGTGAAGCTACAGTCATACAGAGCGCCTTTTGTTTTTCCTGCCCTGTCAACGGCAGGGGAACCGTACGTTGGCTGTCCCATGAGTTACTGGTTCAGTCGAATGATCTGTGCAGTGTATAGTACTTGCCAACATGGCCAATGATGAATAATACTACCTTTTAATTATTTTATACGTCTAGTCTTAAGCTTTTTAACGACCAATGTTAAGTTCGCCGCATTTGCTAGGTACCCTTAAAAAAGGACAGGAATTAACGACAAACCGCTACCAGTTACAAAAGAATCCCGTTTTAAAACATGCACAGTCAACACTGACGATATAAATCGAGCTTTCGATATGGATAGTTTTACCATTTTTGAGAAAGTACCGGAATGTATTATATTTTCTTTATATGAAACTTGATACCTCTAAATAAATATTAGGTACATTAGAGTAAGAAAAATTTGAAAGTAAAATTTTGATACATACCGATACTTTCTCGAGTATTGTAATTTTCTTCTTTGAACATATACATGATGATGTTGTAGCTAAATTTGTCTAATTAAAACTTTCATAACGTCATACTTGCGTAGTTGTATAACCTTTTTTGGATTAATATGAAAAAGTTTAAGTAGTCATATTTATATTTGTTTCCTTTGAGAAGTCCAAGACAAATTTCTTATGAGATTGAAGAAAGTACTATACAATGGTTTAACACTACAAATTTTGAAGTATCCATGATCGGTATTAATGAATAGGACATAGCTTCTCTATGAACACAGATAAGGCAAATTCCTCTGGGGTTGCTTTCTCGTATCTCAATTCCACAAAGGAAACTACAATACGAACTCAAACTTCATTTATTTATTTTTCTCTGAGAAATCCAATGTATCTTTCTTGTCTCTATAGAACTACAGAAGCTATCACACTCATGTAATGAACTATTCAAACACATTATATTTCAAATTCATGTGTTTGGATTGAGGATTAATTCCTATAAGATTCGCACGACATTTCAGTTTTGTCTATGTTTCATATTACTGTTCTTCAAATGCTGCTACATTCTAAAGGAGCCCTAAGTAAATGGCAATTCTCATGCTCTTATACAAAAATAAACTAAAGATCGCCGTTTGATAATGCTGCAATCTCACTACTGCATGACACATTAATCTTGGGTATGCAGGCTCCCTTGCAGCAGGAAAGCTAGATGTCATTAGCAGCACCTGCTGGCTGCAATTGAATTTCAGCATTTTAGTATACTGCATCGGTGTTGCAGCCTTGCAGGTATAGCTCCTTCTACAAAGAGTGGAGGAAATAAATTAAGGAAAACCAAAAGGGGACATATAATGCAGGGTATCTCAGTAAACAAAGTAACTTGTACTATTTGTTTACATTGTCATATCAAATGCCAAACAGCACCCTCTGCTTATTCTTTACAAGCATCGATTGATCTCAAGGTTCTCAACTCGAAAGAAAAAAAAAAGTAAACACGACTACCACTTTCTGATGTTTGTCTATACGCCCCTTCTGTTAAGCTCCCAAAAAAAGTTCCAATGTACACATGACGTCGTTAACAACGGGAAAAAAACGCATTATTTCTGTGCCCACGTCAGCTAATCATTGTTTAATTTTCTCAGTTAACGGTGAGCTGAGGGAACCCCAACGCCGGGTGCGGCGACAGAGGCGACAGTGGCGGGAGGCCACCGAGCAGCGCTTCCCAGTACTGCTCCCAGCTCCAGCTCGACGGCGTCGCCGGCGAACTCTCGGCGGCCGCGCCGGCGTGCTCCGCCCCCGCCGACGACGTGGCCGGCGTCGTGTCCCGCGACGTCAGGGACGACGACAGTGACGACGAGTTGGACGTCGGCGCCTCGGTCTTGACGGCCTTGCTTACCACTCCGATCACCTCGACGCCGTCGTCGGGGTCCTCCGACGGCTGCCGCTTCCGCTTGTTCGTCGTCGAGGCGGCGGCGGAGTGCGCGGGTGGCGGCGGGGGAGGAGCCCACAGTTCGGCGCCGCGGGTGCCGACCTCGTTGGGGAAGTTGAGGATGGCCTTGGCACCGCGCATGCGGAAGGCGGCGCGGTCGTACGCGCGCGCGGCCTCCACGGGGGTGTCGTACGTGCCCAGCCACACGCGCGACCCGCGCCTCTTCGGGTCGCGGATCTCCGCCGCGAACTTCCCCCACGGCCGCTGTCGCACGCCGCGGTACTTGCGGAAGTCCTCCACGGCGGCCGCGGCCGGCGCCGCCGCGGACGCCCAGCTGCCGAACGAGCTCGGTGGCAGGGATATGGTCAGCGACGACGACGGCCTCACCGGGGAGGGCTCGCCACCGAACTTGATCATCACCTCGGCCGCCGGCTGCGCGGGCGCCGTTCGGAACGCCGCCGCTGCCTCAGCAGCGGGTGCGGATTCCAGGTGCTCGTCCGTTAGTTCTACGTGACAACCATGCTGCTCCTGCTGCCGCTGCTCTTGCCACGACATAGGCGGGTACGCCGCCGCCGGTTCGACGACCTCGAGGTCCGCCGGCTCGGTGGCCGTGGCGGTGGCGCCGTCGACGCCGAGAAGGTGCTCGCGGATGAACTCGAGGGCGAAGTCGTCGGCGTCTCCGTGGTGGAAGTCCATGTATGCTGCGTATGGCGGCTGGTCGTGGGCCGTTGCAAGGAGAGGGAACGACACGGTGCGGTGGCACACACAACTTCAGTGGGAGAGCGAGAGGTGCGTGGCGTTTGATTTGTTTGCGTTGAGTTAGCTGTGCCTCGGCTCTGTGGACAAAAGCAATAGTGTATTTATAGACCGGACGAAACAAAGGCCCAAAGGCGATTTAATTTGACCGCGTCTTGGGCCCCGGCGCCCCGCTTTGGGTGTTTGACATATCATCACACATGCCTGATATAGTTCTTAATTTTTTCTTCGAACTTCTAATTTTTTTTATCACATTAAAAATTTTTTGCACACACAAACTTTCAACTTTTTTATCACATCGTTCTAATTTCTATCAAACTTCTAATTTTAGCTTGAAAACACACCAGTCTCTTGTCATTATCCATGGAAACATGGGTTTTGATGGTGATCAAATTGATCGCCGAGTTAATTGGGACCTTGGATTAGAAATACCCACTGCTTCTTCGCTAGCTCTAATTTCGCGAACGCTTTTAATTTTTTCGCGAACGCAGCTCTAATGAGTCCAGAAGAGTCGAATCCTTCTCTTTCTAATCACGATTTAAGTGTGTTCTTTAATTTATTAATCGGTGTATTATCATTCCTGTTCTGTTCTGCTATGGTTCAGAGAATATCCGGATGAATTTCGTAGCTGCGAAATTTGAATGGAGCTGACCAGATATTCCCTTTTCGTCGTTTCTCTTTATCTCTGTTGCGCGGAAACAGGTGAAATCCCCCGTCCTCGACGACGTAAAGAACATTCTCGATCAAAATTTCTTCTCTAAGTTCAGGGTATACAGGTATACAACCCAAACATTCTCACAGTACTAATCTGCACTCTGTCGCTGATTAGAAGCCTCCTGGTTATCCATCGTTGATAAGCAGAATTCTTCTATAGGCTATTGGCACATATAATTAGATGGCATTTGCTCTTGGCAGAAAAACAGAACATGGTGAAGACCCCCTTTGATTTTCAGAGAAAATGAAGGAAAAACATAGGCACAAGCATCCTCTAGAAATTGGTATTGTTCATCCCTTTGATTGGTAGGAATGAGATGAAATAAAAGAATGAGAAATTTTCCTACGGCCATTTTTTAAAGGAACTTCACAGGTAAGTTGACATGATGAACTCATTTTTCTTTTTTCATTTCTGTAGGTTCAAGGCAGGGGAACGTGGATCAGAACATTCATAATTCTATTCATTATAAAGATAATACTTAAATTGCTACGTTTCTTTTAGCCCATCAAAATGACCGTCCATTCCTACAACTTTTCATGGTTTTCATATGCGCTTCTATTATACTTTTAATGTGTTCTATATTTTCTATGTTCCTCTAAACACGTGTTTCAAGGAAGGCCCAAATAATGAAATTTTCAGTGCACACTCCGAACTTCCGAAGCAAGCCAGTTACAAGGAAAAATACACATTTTTACCTATTATTAAAAACCGAACGGAATACTTCATTTATATGTCAGTTAAATTTAACGACAAAACGAGGGCACACTAGGAACTAAGTGTAGCTTGGTAGGTTATGTTTATTGTCTTTTGTCTGTTTTAATATCGTACTACGTAGACCCTTATTCTAACGTACCCCAATACTCTATTCATCCGGTCCGCGAGTAGTACTCGTCGATAATATACACCATGTACAATACTATAATTTAAGAAAATATATAAAACGAAATAAGTTATTAATGTATAAGTAATTAAGTATTAATTACTTTAAATTGAAAAATAGATTAATATGATTTTTTAATAACTTTATAAAAAATTTACATAAAACATATTGTGTTTAGTAGTATAAAAAATGTGCGTGTGAAGAATGAGAGATCTCTCCACTCAATCAGCTGCAAACGATCACAGAGCACATCAAGTTTTAGTAGTACATCGGGAGCACTTAAAAAAAAAACTCTATTGGATAGATCAACGATTCCACAAAGCCAACACTACACGAATGATTCCATTTTACTTATACCAAGGACCGGGTCCGTCGCTAAATAGTAAACGATAACGTACTTGGAAGCCTTTGACATTGTGTTTAGTTTATTGAGCTATAGCGCGCGCTAGCTGCTGCATGCATGAGCACACCTGAAGTACAAGAGCAGTAGACATAGTACAGAATTATTATATTTAAACACGTATTTTTCTTTGCGTTATTCATGGTCTTAACTCTTAAAGTCGGTCTCCACGTATACGAAATTAAAGAGTACGACATCTAAATGATATCACCTCCGTTTTTTAATAGATGACGCCGTTGACTTTTTCTCACATGTTTGACCATTCGTCTTATTCAAAAAATTTACGTAATTATAATTTATTTTGTTATGAGTTGTTTTATTACTCATAGTACTTTAAATGTGATTTATATCTTATACATTTGTATAAAATTTTTGAAAAAGACGAATGGTTAAACATGTGAGAAAAAGTTAACGGCGTCATCTATTAAAAAACGAAGGGAGTAAATAACTTCTATTCTTTTAACAAATCAAATGGATCTTCAATTAACTAGAGTGTCGCGTATTCGCGTACATGCACATGTGTCAAGTTCTGAAGCACACAGAATTAAGCAAAGCAATCATGCATGTATGGACGTACGTTGGTCCCGCGAAACTCAGCACCCCCGACCGGCCTTGACTGGACACAACAGCACCGTGTACGTCTCGGTCTACAGCGCTCGACCGGTTGCAGAGAAGTCTTCTGAATGATGGGTTCGTTCAAACCTAGGTAGGGTGTACGTAGATCAGCTAGCAGAGTTGCATGCGTTGATTAAACGAAGTAGAGTTGCATGTAAAGACTGTTAGCTCGAATCTCAAATCAACTCGTTTTCTCTCGAGAAGTGCGCAGCTAAACCTATAGGCGAGACTAATCTTCGATCACAAGTCATCGATGAGCCATGTTTATATGGATCGGTCGCATCGTGGGCTAGTGGCAAAAACACGCGCACTAATTTTTGCTAATGGTGATGTTTTGTACTCTCTGTCCTAAAATATATTTATTTTTTATCGTTCAGTAAATACTAAGGTTGTAAAATGTTTTATTTTAAAGTCATTTTAGTTGTTAATTTTAAAATTTTAAATTCATAATTAGTTTCCCTCTCCGAGCATTTGTTTGGCTTTCAAATCATGCATTGAAATGATCAGAATCTAGGAATAAGTGTAGTTAGTTGTCAATCTCTAATTTTTGAATTGCTAATTAGCTAGATTTCCTTTCTAATTATCTGATTGCTTTTGGAATCATTGAAATGTTGTGAATTGAAATGATGTAAAGAACAGACACCGCCACAACCACTTAATTAGAAACTAGCGAAGCAATCAACTTAATTAGCCTACCCACTTTAATACCATTTGGTTTCACAATTACTATCTACATCTAAAAAACTTCTTTATTGCCACTACTAAAAAAAAAGACTATAATAACATCTACTTTTTTTTAACTCTACTTCCTCCATTCCATAATATAAAACGCAACTACTTTTTAGAGTAGTTGTTACTATAAGGTCATTCCCAACCCAAAACATTAGACATAGTTTCCATAAACTTCACATCATCAAGAAACCAATACTAGACACTACTCTTCCAATACAAACACTACTATTCCATACATAAATTTAATGCTACTTATCTCACATGATGTCTTGGATGTTGTGTAGAAACCATGTCTCATGCAAGACATAGTTTCCTTCTCTTTCCTCATTTATTCACTTGCCACATCATTTTTTTATTTTAGGTGGCAGCTTATTTAATGCTATGGATATCATCCTAATCATTGGGTTAGGAATGGCCCAAAGCATACATGCATGCATGACATTAACTAACACATCTTCTCCATTAAAATTTTATTATTTAAATTCCCCACCATCAAGATCTCTAATTTTATTAGATACATGCATTACATTTATTAGATTAATCTAAATTATGAGGTGATAATAATTATTTCTTAATCTTTGGGCTAAGAGTGGTTGTGCCTTATATTTTGGTATGGTATGGAGCGAGTAATATATTCTCAACTTTCTTAAACTCCGAGGCATTAATTGTCTTAAAACGGAGTCTATATGAGACAAATAAAAAAAATTTGAAGCCTCTGTGGGACGTATGGAGTAGTACTGAATTACTCCCTCCATCTATTTTTTATAGTTATATTTCTAAATCTGAAAAATTTATTTTTGATAGGTATATTTCAATTCAACAAACTATCATCTTAATGACTTTCTCGGATTTAATGCATGACTCTCCATTTTTCCACACAAGATTGGCTACATGGGGATCGAGAAATGTAAATATTAATGAATCGCTTGTTTACGAGGAATGACTAGTAGCATATTTAAATAAATGATAAGTAGAATTACTTATCTTTGGTCTGTGTGTCAAGATAAAATATTACTATAAAAATAGATTGAGTGAGTAAAATGGATCCTTGTGACCAGGTAGTTAGCGAGAAAAAAGAACAAAATATGAGATGAGAATTACAGAAATCGATAAAGAACCATATTTTAATTCACACGCAACATTTGAAACGGCCTGGCCAACTTTGGTATGGTCAAAGACGACCAAGAGACTAGAGAGTTCCTAGCGGATAAGAGAAAATATATCTATAATAATAAAATAAAATCTAGTGTTTGTCGTCAACACTGTTCACTGTTTACACTGAACACCGTTTTTGTTTGTATCGGTCGTCTATGTTCATCTACGGATCAGGCTTTGTCATACATGAATGTCATATTAATCTGAGGTGTCCAGGGCTCCCTCTTGGGGCAGGAAAACCATCTCTCATACATAAAAGGGTATGTTTAAGTTCACGAAAAAAAAATTTTTAGGTGTCACATCAGAGGTTTCACCAGATATCGATTTGGATTTTCAGACACGATTAAAAAAACTAATTTCATAACTCGTCTAAGAATCGCGAGACAAATTTATTAAGCCTAATTAATCCGTCATTAGTACGTGTGGGTTACTGTAGCACTTATGGCTAATCATGGACTAATTTTTTTACCAGGCAACAGTGGGGGAGTCCACCACGTAATCATGGACTAATTAGACTTAAAAGATTCGTCTCGCGATTTTTATGCAAACTGTACAATTAGTTTTTCTTTTTATCTCTATACTATACATATGTCCAAAAATTCCATGCGATGTTTTTTGGAAAATTTTTTTGGGAACTATACAAGGCCATAGTAGTAAGAAGCTAGCACCTGCTACTACGTTTAAATTCAGTATTTCAGGCCTTGTTTAGTTCTAAACTTTTCCTTCAAACTTTTAATTTTTCCATCACATCAAAACTTTCATACACACATAAACTTTCAACTTTTCCATCACATCTGTAGCGCCCGTTCCGTCGTGGCGCCTAGCGGGAAAATTATCTCTTAAAAAACCCTAACTGCGAAATTTGTTTCTTCGCTTGTCGTCTAGTGTCCGTGCCATCTCAAGATCTCAAATCCCCGATCTATCGTCGAGTTCAAATCCGAATCCAAATCCTTCCAAATCAATTCCTCCGCAAAAGTCTATTTTGCCTCCCCCGGGTCGATGGGCCGAATCTCGCTCGGCCCATCTCTCTCTCTCCCCTCCCCCGGCGCGCTCCCGCTCTCCCTCTCCCTCTCTCTCGCCCCCTCCCCTCGCTCTGCCGCGCCTGCGCAAGCGCCGCGCCGAGCGCCCCCTCCCCTCGCTCTCCTTCTCCCCATCCCTGGCGAGCTCCCCGCTCGCGAAGACGGCCCCCGCGCGCCGTCGTTCGCGCGCGCGCGCCCACGTGGTTCCCCGCCCGAGCCGCGTCGTCTGCGCCGTCCGCGTCGCCCGGTCCCGCTGCCCTGCCGCGCCTGCAGCCGCGCAGCCGCTCGGCCCCGCGAGCCAGCGCGCGTGCCCAGCCGCGCCGCCCGTTGTTTCCCGCGCGCGCGTGCCGAGTGGCCGACCGCCTGGTGGCCGCCGCCGTCACCCTCTGCCGCGCCATCCCGCGCCTGTCGCCCGTGTCGTCGCGCCGCTCCAAACCGTCCCGCCGTCATCGCCGTCGTCATCGCCTCGGCCCCGCCACTCCGCGCGCAAGCCGCCAAGGGACGGAGGCCGAGCCCTCTCCCCCCTGCCGTGACGCCCCCGCTCCCTCTTCCTTTTCCCGAAGAGGCAAGGGGACAAGCCTCTTTCTCCCCCTCCTTTTTCCCCTTTTTCCTCCCGCCGGCGTCATCCTCCCTCCCTCCTGTCGCCGTTTTGGCCGCTAGCCGGAGCGCCAGCTCGCGCCTTGACCGCCAAAGTCGGTTTCCAAACCGACATTGCCGCCCCCTATAAACCCCACCCTCCCCTTTCCCTTCCTCTCCCATTCGCCTCCGCGCCATTGCCGCCGCCCCCGTGCTCTGTTCATCGTCGCCGTTCGTCGTTGCGCGTGTTGGAGGAGCCGGCACGAGCAAGGACGCGGAAGGGGACTTCGGCCGCGCTCGTCTTCTTCCTCTTCCCCGGCCCGAGGCCGGAGAGATTACTCCCGCACCGTCGGCCTCTCGTCACTGCGCCCCGCCGCACGGTAGTGCCTCCCTCCGTTCTTCCTCCTCGCTCCATCTCCCCCCCTTAGTTTTCGGTGGTAGCACGAGTAGCCTCCCCGTAGCTAGCCGGCGCCGCCCCGACCGTTGCCGTCGCTCGCCGTGTGCTCGCCGCCGTCACCGCTCGAGCTCCGTAGCACCCGCTCGTCGCCAGCCTCGCTCGGCGTAGTTCCGCCCAATCCGACGCTAGCAACGGATTCCCGTAGCCGCGTGGATGCTCTCGCCGCCGGGAATCGACCCCTCGTGACCTCGTCGCCGTTTCCCTCTTCCCTCCCCGCCGGTTGCCGCCGCCGCGATTCGCCGCCGTCAAGCTTCCTCCGGCAAATCCGAGCCGTTGGCTCGTCTCCCCTCGTCTCGTGCAACCACCCGGTGTGCTAGCTTTCGCCGGTATCGCCGTGGTTCGCTCCGCCGCTCGCCGCTGTTGTCCGCCGTCCGTTCCGGCCGGCGTCGTCGTCTACCTCCCGCCAGCCCACGTGGCAGCCACGTAGGCGCCACGTCGGCGCCAGCTCAGCCGAGGACGGGACGGGCCGACCCCGGTCAGCCCCTCCCGTGCGCGCGTTCCACCGCGAGCCGTGAGGCTGCGCGTGGGCCCGCCGCATCCGTTCCTCCGCAGACCGCGCGCGTGCACCGCGTCCCTCCCCCGCCCGCGCGCGTGCGCCGCGTGCACCCTCCGCACGGTGAGCCGAGCCGCTGACAAGCGGGTCCCACCCGGGACCGCGCACGGTGAGCCCGGTCCACCGGCCCTCTCTCTCCTCCCCTCCCGCGCGAGCACTTGGGCCGCCTTGGGCCGGCCGGCCCATTTAGCTCGGCCGGTCCGCTCCATTTCCCTTGGGCCGCGCCCTAGCCGCCCGAGGAAAAGTCTATATTCCCTCCCTCTTTTTCTTTTCTTTTCTTTTTCTTTTCCAAAAAGGATTTAATTAAATCCTTTTCCTTTAGATCGAAAATCCAATAATCTTAGAAATTCAATATCTTCCCAACCGTAAATCCGTTTGACTCCGTTCAACTTCTAAAATTCCTCAAATCTCGAGATCTATCTAATGGCATGCTTAGAGGTCATTAATAGGGCTTTATTTTCGCCGTTTGTTGAGTTGTCCCGTTTCGCGTGTAGTTTCGGAGCTTGAAGACCCGCAGTGCGAGGATTTCGAGGATCAAGCTCCAGATCTCGAGCAAGGCAAGCCACCTTTGAACATCTTGAGCCTATATTTGAAATTTAATTATGTTGCTTGAAAAATATTATGCATTTATAGGATCGCACTTAATCTGTTGCCCCGTCTGCAAGGCAGATTGGCGGACCTACCTAATTTTGTTGCATTCGATCCTTCCTTTGTTAATTGCTATACCATGTCCCCTTGTAACCATCTAGTTGCGTCTCGATATTCATGCACCCTGTGCGAGTATCGACGGACGCCTTCAAATTTAAAATCTGAAAAACAACATGGGTAAAACTTGGGTTTACAAAAGACTTGGAAAACCCGACACCTGGGTCGGTGCTTGCGAACTAAATGAATTTCCAAAACCGCGGACCGGGGAACGTATCGGGTGTACGGTTTCCCCGCTCTCGCACTTAAGGACCGATTCCTTGGAATTTCATCCAAACATAAGACAAGTAGGACCACATGGGTGGAATGGGACACCCCTAGCTGAGTAACTAGCTTATCAGGGGAACCTTGATGCCGAGAGACATGTGGATTCGCCGGGGTGGTGTCGGGGAGGACCCCTGGGCTTCCTGGCACAGTATGGTCTGGGACCTAACCTGTTGTTGGTCTGGGACCCCTCTTGTCGGCATATGGTAAACCTGTGTCGGCTTTAGAAATGCCTTGTCATGAAAGCTTGGAGGTCTCCCGACGTGGCTGATCCCCACGGGCTGGGTGATCCGGGTTAGTAATGTCGTGTGGGTAAAGTGTACCCCCTCTGCAGAGGTTAACAAACTGTTCGAACAGCCGTGCCCACGGTCATGGGCGGATGTGAGGTGATTCCTAGCGTTGTTTTGTTTGACTACTGCTTGTGAAATTGCTGTTGTGGAAAGGGGTTCCATGTTTGAAAAATCTGTAGCTGATGGGATCAGCTAGGCCCGGGTGGCCGTTTGAAAAGTTGATGGCCCGGGTGGCCGTTGAAAAGCTGTTGGCCGGGTGCCAACCTTGTTTCAAAATCTAAAGACTGATACATTGCACATACTCCGACCGGACGAGACGCACTGTCTCATCTGTGTCGTTTGAGAAGCACTCACTTAGTTGTTTCAGAAAAGAGTTCAAATAAAATCAATTGCAAAAACACCAGCCTCTCCTTGGAGCCTGCATTAAACACTTATTTCCCCTGGCTTGCTGAGTACTCCCGTACTCACCCTTGCTCTATATAAATAATCCCCCCCCAGTTGCTGAAGAAGATGAAGCGAATCCTGCTGATGAAGTGTTCTTCCAGGAGCAAGCCGGCTACGATGTGTTTTAGGGTTTCGGCCTAGTTCCCAAGTCGCGCCTGTGATGTTTGGCCCTAGTCCTGGCTTTCGCTTTCCTTTTGTAATGCAGTTGTGAGCTCGGGATCTGTCCGCAGCCCAACATGACTGTACCTCTACTCTATAATAAAGAGACCCCTGTTGCTGTGATATTCTGTCTTCCTGTGATACCAGCACTATTTCCTGGGACTGGTATCGATTAACAGGTTAATTTGGAGCGTCACGGGCTAGTTCCGGTCGGTACTAGTTCGGGGCGTGACAACATCGTTTCAATTTCAACCAAACTTCCAATTTTAGCGTGAACTAAACACACCTAGTGTTTCAGTATGGTGCGGTTGCTAGAACATGATTCCCAGCTTCTACATTCTTTTTTTTTTAGCTTTCGTAGAATTTCTGATAAGTTTGAGCTTACCGTTTGTATATGTGAATATGTTCATTCCTCAATGAACGGAATGAAAGAAATTAAGGAACGAAAAGGGACTCAAGGAGCATACATTGCTGGGGTACATATCTCAGTAAACTAAATTGCAACTCGTATTAATTTACAGAATGGCATACCTCATGCCAAACCACACCCTTTGCTTATGCTTTACAAGCATTTGTTGGCCTCAACCGAATCATCCACCAGATTTTATTTGTGATACCATTCTCTACCTCACCCTAAATACACGTGTGACCTCTCTGTGTTTTTTTAAGAAGAAGAAACTGTAAAAATACTAATGACTTCATCGGCACCGTACTCCATTATTGTCTTCTCCTTGTGTGTTTTTGTACATGTTCGTGCCGTTAATTAACAACGAAAAAACAGGAGTAGCAGTAGTAGTATTAGTGAGGCCATTTCAGCTAATCGGCGCTTAATTATTTCTTAGCTAACGGTGAGCTGCGGGAACCCCAACGCCGGGTGCGGCGACAGAGGCGACAGCGGCGGCAGGCCGTCCCAGTACTGGTCCCAGCTCCAGCTCGACGGCGTCACCACCGGAAAACTCGTGGGCTCCGACGACCCAGTCGACGTCCCCGCCGACGACGTGGTCGCCGTCGTGTCCCGCGACATGGATGACAGTGACGACGATGAGTAGGCGGACGTCGGCGCTTCGGTCTTTACAGCCTTGTTTGCCACTCCGATCACCTCGACGTCGTCGGCGGCGGCGGTGTCGTCCTCCGGCTGCCGCTTCCTTTTGTTCGTCGGCGGCGGCGTAGCCCACAGTTCGGCGCCGCGTGTGCCGACCTCGTTGGGGAAGTTGAGGATGGCCTTGGCGCCACGCATGCGGAAGGCGGCGCGGTCGTAGGCGCGCGCGGCCTCCACGGGGGTGTCGTACGTGCCCAGCCACACGCGCGACCCGCGCCGCTTCGGGTCGCGGATCTCCGCCGCGAACTTCCCCCACGGCCGCTGCCGCACGCCTCGGTACTTGCGGAAGTCCTCCACGGCGGCGGCCGTGGCCGCCACGGCGGGCACGGCGGCCGGCGCCCATGATCCGAACGAGCTGGGGGGCACGGTGACAGTCAGCGATGGCGACGACGACGACGACGGCTTCACCGCAGGGAAGCGCTCGCCTCCGAACATGATCATCACGTCGGCCGCCGGATCGGGCTGATCATCACGGAACGCGGCCTGATCAGCAGCCGGGGCGGAATCCACCACGTACTCCTGCGGCGTTAGGCCTGCGTAGCCTCGCTGCTGCTGTGGCAAGAACATGGTACTGGTGGGTAGGTACGCCGCCGCCGCCGGTACAGCAGCAGGCGGCAGTACAGGGGCGTCGCCGCCGAGCAGGTGCTCGCGGATGAACTCGAGGGCGAAATCCTCGGCGTCTCCGGGGAAGTCCATTGTATGTCGCGTAGTGCGTAGGGCTAGCTGGTCTTAGCCGGCCGATTGCTCAAAAACGTGTGTTCGTGTTGAGTAGATGTGGGTGCCTCTTTGAGAGTCTTGAGTCTGAGGACAAAAGGCTCGGGGATCCGTGGGGGTATTTATACACCGTACGAGCGCCAGAAGCGACCGGAATTGGCGGCTTTCGGTCTCCCGGTGATTTGATTCGGTCTTTCATGATCTTATTGTTTATCCATGCATGGAAACTTGGGTGTCGTTGATGATCAATTGATCACCGAGTTAGGAATTAAACTTGTGTGCTATAGTTAGTTCTGTGCTGCGCTTAGATATATAGTTTAGTTATTTTAGGGAGATATATACTTTAGTTTTTAGGGACAAACTTGATATAATCTTCTAAACTAATTTTTGACTTATAATTTTTCAAATACTATATAAGGTTTGTCAACAAAATTATAATGATAGTATTAAAGAAACTTCAAATATCAATTTAATGATATCATTTTTAACAAATACTCTAAAAGTTAATTTGTATTATACTAATAGATGGTCAAATGTTTTAAAACTTAAATCTTGAAATAAGTGCATACCTTATACTCCTACAGTTATTATGGGATGGAGTCAGTATAGGTTGTTTTAGATACACCTACAGTTCACAGCCCGGGTTACATTCTACTACTACATTGCCACACAAAAGATAGTATTTTTTTTAAGGAGAATAACAAATCTATCTAATAAAATATGCTCACCGTAGTTTTGAATATATTACACTATTAATTAACCTTTTCCTCAAACTTTTGACCAACAATATTTAATCAATTACTTAGCTAAGTAAAGTGAAAAGAGTATAACTAGATTTATCATCTAAAGTACTTTATACGTGTTTTATATGTTTGTCTATTTACACAAATATTTTCAGAAAAGATGAATAGTTACATCTCTATCTCTACTATTATAAAAATTGAAGATGTTTCCGCGGTTCGTCATCCATGTTTGAGTCGGTTTTAATCTATATCTCTTCTCTACTATTATAAAAATTGAAAATGTTTTTGCCGGTATTTTGGTACGTCATCCGCGTATGAGTCGGTTTTTAAGTTGGTTTGCTTTTGGAAATACATATCCATATTTAAGTCGATTTTTAAGATCGTTCACTTCTGGTAATACAGAAGGAATCATATAAGAAATCTGTTTTAAAAAACTCGCATGCTAACTTGAGACGATCGGACTCCTAACTGCAGCTCATGATTTTCTAAAAACATATATATATATATCCAAGCGAACTTCCACAGTGAATTTCATCTTAACTAAACCATATAACAATAATAAGATTAAAATAAACTTCACCTGTTACAACGCACGGGCATTTTTCTAGTGAATTAAAAAGAGTCAACGACAGTGCCGTATACCATTAGATTAAAACTAGAGGCAGTAATACTTATTCTATGTTTGTTCAAAAACATATTTATATACTAGCACATCATTTATCGTAAACTTGTTTTTAGTCAATATATAGAGAAATATAGCGGTGTATAATAATTTTAATTCATCATAGGAACATTAGAAAAAACTATTCATGGGATCGATGATTTCACAAAGGATTAACCACGTATTCCCTCAGTTTAAAAAAAATCAATTTAAAAGGAGATATGACTTCTCGTGATACAACAATCTGGAGAGAGGTTGAGTTTTTCTGAAATAGAGGGTAACACCCTTTTGAATCCATTCATTCCTATTCCCTAGATAGCTACTAGGGACCGGGTCCATAGCTATATAGTTTAGAGCAAGTATAATAGTGACATGTAAGCCTACTATAAGTTTATGTGGAGGAGAGAGGTAAACAAAAGAGAAGTGTGTTGGCTCTCATACAAGAGCTAGCTTAACACAAGCTCCAAGACAAATACATTAAATGTATAAATGAGAGATAGAGATAGAAGAAGAAAATTATAGCTAACCTTATAGCTAATCTATTATATGTGTTAACTTTAGTATAGGCTAATAGTAGGAAGTGGGCTATATTATTATCCTTGCTCTTAGTACTACTAAATGATAACGTACTTTCAAGACTTTGACCTTGCATGTGTTGATATGTCAGTTTAATTATGAAATTAAGCTATACATGGCGCCGCTTTGAATGTGTTCAGCTAAGGAATAACAAGCACAAGGACAATATAGTATCTATTATTACTCCTTCTATCTACAAATATAAACAAATTATCAATAGAAAAACATTTCTAAGCCAGTACTAAGTCAAACCTTTTTAACTTTAACAAAAAACAAATTGACCGATGACACAAGAATGATATTATGTCATTTGATTCATCATAAACAAACTATATAGTACTCCCTCCGTCCCACAATAAGGGATTTTGAGTTTTTTCTTGCAACGTTTGACCACTCGTCTTATTCAATTTCTTTTTGCAAATATAAAAAATAAAAAGTCGTGCTTAAAGTACTGTAGATAATAAAGTAAGTCACAAATAAAATAAATAATAATTTCAAAAAATTTTGAATAAGACGAGTGGTCAAACGTTGCAAGCAAAAACTCAAAATCCCTTAATATTATGGGACGGAGGGAGTATGTAACTTTTTTATTTAAAATTAATTTATTTTTATATATGTTGTTTGTCAAAGTAGCATATTGAAGACTAAGGCAATATCGTTGTAAAGTGCTTATATTATTGTGGATAGAGATATTACCGTAACATTAAACGAAGTTCAAGAAATAGCCACCAGGTATATATATATTCTGAGGTTCTATAAATTTTCTCACTAATCCAAGAAAAAGGGAAAGATTAGCCAGGTTAGATCATAATGAGTCCATATAGTATGGAAAAAATCAATTGTATTAATGATAAATTATGCAATTAATAGTTGTATATAAAGTATAATTAAATTTTATATTCAATGAAAAGTCAGGACTATATCAAATTAAATTAAATCCTTCTTTTTATGTCTAGTTATATTTAAACACTAACTAGCTAGCTAGTTTATAATTGAAAATCCTCAGTTTGCATTTGAACACGTGTTTTCCTTTGCGTTCATACATATTGATCTTATGCCACCGTCTCCACGAACGACTACGCCGATATCTAAATGAGTAATAAATAACTTAGTTTAACAAGTGGCAATCTAAATCTAGTACATCATATATAAATCACACGCACATGCATGTAAGTCTCTAAGTTCTGACGCACACAGAATCCGGCAGGCAAGCAACTAGCAGGTCCATCGCGCGGCGAAGCTCCCTCGCTATATACTAGCTTGATCGATCTGTCGCCCTTTCTTGGGTGCACGTCTCGATCCGGAGGCTCGACCGGCCGTTTGCAAAAGTCTACAGAGGTGAACTCCTAATTTTTCAAACCTAATTACTTTCCAAGGTCAGATGGTTGATAAAATTAACCTTACATAGATCAGTAGAGTGGCATCTTATTCTTGCATACGCAAGACTATTCCAATCGACGTAGTCCTGCTACTTTAATTTTTTTTTCTCGTGTACTGCGAATCTATATGTGATTTGATCTATAGCTAGGCCAGAGACTAATCTTCGCCGTAATTTTTCTTTCCGTGGGTTACACCGCGCGCGTGCGCCGCCACTAGCCCAATATATGTGTGGTACGTAGTGTGTACGGTCGTACGAGCGGTCGCGCGTCTCGTGCTCGCATGGTACGTAGCACACAATGCATTTTGATGCGACGTGTGCTTAATGCTGTGGGCGAAGGACTTGTGATGATGGAAACCAGCACAACGGGTCGAGACTTAAGACTGCGCGCCGTACGTTAATTAATCTCGTCTTCTTACGCTTTTCACGTGTATCCAAATATCCCTTTTTTAGAGAGGAGCTAATATAAGGCAGGTAAGAAAAAAAAGTTAAGTATAAAAAAATGAGAGGAGCTAGACTTTTACGACCCATCAGATAATTTCTGTAGTATATTATATATGAATCGAGTATCATTCGAATTAATAATACTTATTGTTTTGGGTAAGAGTGGTGCCAAACCTTTAATTTTTAAGTATAAATAATTTTTAAAATATTTATCTTAGAAATATAAAGACATATGTATAGATTAGTTTTAAAAACACTTCAATAAAATTATATATTTATTGATATTTTTATTTATATTATAATAAAAAATAGTGGTTAAAGTTATTTTTTAAGAGCGTATATTTAACTAAATAATAAGTATTAACAATTCAAAGGAAGTAGTTATCTTAAGAAATCTTAAACCCCATGGAGATAAATTTATAGTAGTAAGTGCTAATCTAGAGAGAACACCGGCTGCTAAAAATTGGTAAGCAGTTTTGTGCGGTCACCAAGTCTCTTAGGGCATGTACAACGGCCGTTATTAGTGGTCTCTCTCTATTACCATGCAGGCAAATTTGATGATATGGAAGAAAGAGAAAGGAGGAAAGAGAAATATGGTTGTTATGCATGACAATGGTTGAGAGTCGACTCTTAGCATTTATTACAGCAAATTTTGTTACATGGTGGTGAAAGAAAGGAAGCAAGGGTAAGAAAAAAATATTTTGATACATTAATAGTAGAGACCATATTGTCTCCAACTGTTATATGACGTTAGTCTCTATGTAGCGTAGAGCTCATACATGTCTCTATCTTTGTACATGCCCTAATATGAGCTCTTTATATTAATTAATATTATTACAGACTATCCTCCTATAATAGTAGAGACAATAAGATTTCTAAACAATTAATGCACTAAATATTTTTTTATTATACTTATTTCCTTTTTTACACCCTCATGCAACAAACTTTCCGTTAATAAATGCTAAGAGTCGACTCTGAGTCATTGTCATGCGTAGCAACGATGTTTCTCATTCATTTCCTCTCTTTCCTTTCTTCCACGTAACTAAATTTACTTGCATGACAACGAAGAGAGCTTGCATGTACAATGGTGTCTAATAACGGGCTCTTCGGGCATGTACAATGGTGTCTAATAACGGACTCTCTTCGTTGTCATGCAAGTAAATTTAGTGACGTGGAAGAAAGAGAGGAAATGAATGAGAAACATCGTTGCTACGCATGACAATGAATCAGAGTCGACTCTTAGCATTTATTAACAGAAAGTTTGTTGCATGAGGGTGTAAAAAAGGAAATAAGTATAATAAAAAAAATATTTAGTGCATTAATTGTTTAGAAATGTCTCTACTATTGTAGGAGGATAGTCTCTAGTAATATTAATTAATATAGAGAGCTCATATTAGACTCTAACTTTATACATGCCCTTATATACCACTTGTGAGGTTGGGCCACATGTTCCTTAATTATATGCTGACTTGTAGTTTGTAG